CCTAGTGCTTGCTCATGGTGGGAATTGTTGGGTTTCTGTAATCAACTCGAGAGTAGGGTCTGGCATGCTCTATTTGGAAAGCGCTGTGAGACAACTGTTGTTGTGATCTGGCGCTATATAAATAAAATTGAATTGAATTAATTTTAATTTTGTAATGTCATTGTCTGAACGTGTGTTTGGACTGATTTTGTATTTTGTGATTTTGTGTTGTTTGGTCTTCCTGCCTCAGTACGACAGATGTAAACTAGCAACTATGCTATAATCTGGCTCATTTACAATCTGTATGAGATTGTTCATTAATGTGCACTGTCCTGATTAAAGAAATAAATGTAACATCTTTGTTGGCGTGTGACAGTGGACAAAAGTAGAGACATAAGCGACTGGCCCTGACGCACCGGTGGATGTTTGCGCATGTGCACGTGCACGTGCACGCCCACACTGCACACTGTTAATGATTATTATGTCTCATGTCAGCCTGGATCAGAGCCATGCGACCTGCCCGCCGACTTGCCTCTCTTTCACATTCAAATTAACATGGAGCTTTGTGTGTGTGTGTGTGTGTGTGTGTGTGTGTGTGCGGGGGTGCGAGACGACAGGGGTAGTCTAGCTCCTTCTGGCTAGAATTAAAATGAGCAACATACACACACACACACAGACACACACACACACACACACACAGACACACGCAGCCAGACAAGCAGCTGATAATGAGGTTTGATTTTCATATGTTTCAGACAGCGTGCTCTGCAGGTCGGCTGGTACTGTGCAACCGGCAGTGTGTGTGTGTGTGTGTGTGTGTGTGTGCGTGTGTAAATGATCTCCTCCTTCCACTTTAGCCATTGTTCACATCAGCAACTCTGTGTCCAGCGCAGGGCCAGGTGTGTGTAGTTCACGTTCGTCTGTGTTTTGTCTCCATTTCAAGGTTGTTTCTAATATCGGCCCGACCGGGCTTCTGTTTATTTTTAAAGCACAGTCGGGCCGCCGTGCTGTGCAAACATTTGAACTCTCAGGGCGCTTTTTTTAAATGAGCCTCGGAGTGTTTTTCGGCATGTTCCGGATGCTAAATCACTCCAAAGTAGCAGCAAAGGATCTTTTGCGTTCATATTTTCGTTATGAATTGAGGGATTATTCGTCTAAATTCGATCGATATTGCAAATCTATGATTCCATCAGATATTTCTAAGAAGAAAAATGATGTGACTCATCGGCTGACTCTGGCTCGAGGTGCCAGACAGTAAACCCAATAAGTATTGTGTAATAGCCCAGACGTTACCAGAGCTGAAGGTTTTTTTTCTTTAATTTTCCTTTTACAGAATTAATTAATTTTGTTAATTCGTCGTGATGTCTCAGACATAACCAGAGGTGAAGGTTCACGCCGTCGTTTTGTGGATGTCCTCCTCGGTTTTAGTGTTTTCACCCTGTCTGGGACATCTTCTTCAGACTACTTTATAGGACAAGCTGTCTGATTCCTGTCCTGTAAACCTTCTTTTTTAGTTAAAGTTAGTTCTTTGTTTGGGGTCTTTGTTTCCCCATTGAAAACATGATAGAATCAGAACAGAATGTAACCGACTAAAATAAAAAAAAAACATCTAATATCTCGTTTGAATTCAAGCACCTTTGAACATTGAGTTTCCTGTCAGTTGGGGTCAGATTAGAGGTGTTATATTAAGGATTTTAGAAGATATAACCTGCTCTCGGGGAGATAAAATGTTTGATCTAATCATTAAGATACTAATAGATAGATACAGTATTTCCTTTCTTTTTTTTATATTACATTTATAGCAGAAATTCCTCCATTTTTAGTTGTTAAAAACCATTTCTGTGAACAGATAAACGCCAAAGGGCCTCCATAGTAAGTATGTCAACCGTCAAGCATGAAGATTTGCAGCATTTCTCATCAGAAGCAAAATAAAAGAAACTTTGAGGAGATTTTGTGCAGTAGAGTGCATCAAAGTGCTGAGTCAGCAGGTTCTTAGTATGTGTGGCTTCTCCTCCGGCGGGGAAAAACTGTCCGGATGGACACGGGGACCCGTCGTGAAGCCGAGCTCGGTGTTTTTTTTCCCCCCCCAAGCCTGAAACATTGCTCACCAAAGCCGTGAGTCATCGGCGTGTGATCGGAGCCGGAGAGACTTGAGCAGAGATGCTCCTTTTTTACAGTTTTTTCCAGCCGGGAATGCTTGATCTGTTAGCGGTGCTAGCATCGCGGTGCTAGCATCAAATCCGATCTGGGGTTGTTTTTATAGCACAGAAGTGACAGCCGGGGTTCTTTTACATCCCGCTGTTGTGATCCTGCTCCTGAGAAC